AACTGTAAAAGTAGAGGGTGAGTGAGTTTCTATTCCAATGCCTTCTGTGCTACAAGCATTATGTCAGCAAACCAGTTCTTGTAGATCTTGTTTATGCCTGAAGGTGAAGTTAGCCGTCTGACGTTTAGAGGAACACAAGGCAAGATCATTTAGCTTAAACCACTGGCTTATGTCTGACAAAAAACTATTAAGTCTGGAAAAGTCAGATCGGTGGGTGTTATATAAGTAGTATGTTAAATGGAATATAATAAAATTTGGTATTAAAGTAATAAAGGGATTGTTGGTAAAGTTATCTATCTAGCATGATCTTGATCATAGGTACCTGCATTCTACCTCCCGTGCTAAATGGTGGTATAATAGGGTGAGCAATATTGAGGTTAGGCATCAGTCGAGTGCTAGGTAAGGAGGGGAAATCAATAGACGAGTTGGCTGTGAAGCTACATGGACTGAGATGGTTAGGACATGTATTACGAATGTATAGACATCGATCGCCTTCCTCGACTGACGGGCAATATTAGCTGACATAGGGTCAGATTGGAAAAGAGCTAGCACGTGGTGGTCAAACTACAATATGGCTTAATCACTCAATGAAATCCACAACAGTTAGTTTAAGCCAGCCAGTCATGTAGGGAGGTGTGTACTTCCTGACTGGTTGGGGTCCTCGGGACGGTAAAAACTACTGGCTGGAGACAATTGGTGATTTGGCTCAGAATCGTTCTCAGTGGCTCGCGCAGATACATTCACTCCTTGTGACTTATACTACCCAATAAAACTATATTGTTCCTTGATATTACTATTCTTTTTGCCTCATATCTCTTTACTGTCTCTATTTTGTATTTCTTTTTACTTTTTTCTTCTTCTTCTCTTGCTTTGTGTGCTGAGTGAAGTGTGGTGACTTGAAGTGCTGCACATCGATGCAAAGCGGCTCTATGTTGAAACCAGTCAGTCAGCATGATCTTGGGCTAGGATAGACTGTTACTGATGCAATGAGCGGTGATCAAATCTATTTTGCGTATAATTTTCCTATTTCAAAACTACATATAGTCTGAAAATGACTATTAAAAATCAGGCATCAATGTACAGAAGCTCTTCAGAGGTATGCATCCATGACCTCTTACTATGGATCAAAGAAAGGATCTAGAGTCACTGGGTAGAGGTGCACTGGATCACGGATCACAACAACCTTTGCCACAGTCATTCAAATGCTTCCTTTCTCACTATTAATGTATTTTTCTGTGATACCACGTCTATTAGAAAACAAAACAAATTGAATTTTCTCCTATTGTCTATGGCTTTTATATCTTAGATCTCTCTGATGCATATTTTGTTATCACATTCTCTGATGTCTTTGTGTGTGTGTGTGTGTTGGTAGTTCGTTGGCAGATTGCTTGTTAACTACCCTTATGATCCAAATTCAACTTCTGGAGGATGCCCTCCTAAACCTCGGCTAAGTTTACTAGCTGACAAATAGTAAGCCCAAAAAAAAGAAGGAAAGTTCAAGGGGATGAGAAAGCAACATCTACAAAATTCACCGTTTAAAAACGAAAAGAAACCTCACTGCTACTGAAACTTCGGAATAACTTGAAGCCTTCTGTCCCACTTGGAATGCAAACGAAGCAAGAAAGAATAATTAATCTCTGATGCCTTTTATTTTGCATTATTCTAATTTTATGATATTAACATCACTGAAATGAATTAGAATTAAATATTTTTTTTGAAAAGAATGACCTTATCTGACAGGTGGTGCGGGTTCGAAACCCTTTTTTGATTTATTCGTTTGATAGGCATACTATCAAGTTCCTTATTATTACTAATACTTTTTAGTAAGAAAACAAAGAGGCACAATATAAACTTAAAGACATTAAAATTAATCATTGATTGTTTGTAAGTTGTACTTGTTTTCAGTTAGTTACTGACGAGATACATTAAATTTCGTCACATTTTTCTTTTTGATGAGTGCTCGTCAATCTTATTAAGGACACCTTAACACCTACATATATATAAATATATTATAATAGTACAAAGCAGACTTATAAAATGCACAAAAATTAACCATTTCTTGTTTAAATTATAAATTATTTTAAAATGTCCGCCACAACATTCAAATTTGAATTTACTTAATCTAAACAAAATTTTTAAAACAAACGTGATGAAAGACTATGACTAAAAAATCTATTTCAATGTACATTTTGTCATGAAACATCGACATTAGTGAGAGAATCATTAAAAAGCGGTAGACAGTAGAGGACAGCTGTTTGGAACCATTCAACAGTGCAAGTCCACGACTATACCGGTGATCGAACACTGAACATTCAGGTTACGAGGTCAGATAGTTGACCATTCAAAAACTTGGGTTAGAAATGAGCGACTGAAGAATTCTAGCTTCTGTTTATTAGCGACAAAGCAGTACCACCAAACAATGCCATCGACGAACATCCAATTGATATAGGTGTGATGTCTCACAATGGCCACGAATTCTCACTATAACTTTAAAAAATCCATCCGGTAGGCACCAATGAGTTGGGATGGAAACCAAGACCTTTAATTTACAAAATTATTCTGCTAACCCCTCAGTCAAAGGTCTGCAATGGACTGATATTGCTGTCAATTCTCGTTACAACATCCCTGATAAACAGTGTCATCAATTAGCATCCATTTTATATCCAATATGGGGAATCCTACTATCCATTAGTTATAATAAATAGAATTTCTAAGCATTTATCCAATAGCCTCATATTCTAAAATTCCTGGATTAGATCGCCTGGTGGAGGGAGGGGTCATGAGTGAGTACTGCTAAGGCGTCTCAAACTAGGACAATGGAGTTATTCAGCATTGTCTGCATTTCGGTAGCTCTCTAATACTAATGTCACTTCATATCTACACAATCAGAAAACTTCCTTCCTTTTAGCAGTAATTACAGTGAATACTGAACTTAATCAAAGTTAGAGAACTAGTGTAGGTCGCAAAATTGTTGAACAGTCTATTTTGTCGCACAATTTTCATTAATTCTTCTAATTACTATCTTTTTGCAATGATATCTACCCTTGAATTCATATCATATCCATCAACCCCTCTTTTTTCTAGAAACCAACTTTTATTTTTAATGCAGATCGATATAACCTCAGTGAGGTAATCGATAAAAAGTCTTGACTGATCTAAGCTTTGTGCTTATCAGCACTCATCCCTAAGATATACAAGTAACCTTGTAAGTTTAGAGCCTGCATTACTTAATCATGAGGTTAGAAATGTTACCAACTAACTATTCGTGCTGATCAGCAGTGTTTACAAGTTAACTTATATCACTTTCAAGTGTTGGTTTGTAGGGATTTGATTGATTGGTTACAAGATTTCATCATGAGCTGACATTGGTTAGAGAACCCAGGATCTTCTGGTTACAAGGCTAGCGAGCTCATGGACCATTAAGCCACTGGGACCCGATCCAATGGCCAGCCAGCCCATGATTTCTAACTTCTGTCAACTCACGATATAGCGCAACCGTTAGCCAATGTCTTCGATAAGTATTTGTCCTCACACCCAACCTGATGCACGCTACTGGTCACGACTTTCCACTAGAACCCCAGGTGACTACCTACCTGAATAGGGCCTTTGTTAACTTTGCTAAATCACTTTGTTAAATGAGTACTAGTGATTTCTAAGAATATTTTACAAGCTACTCATTTCAATTAGTTAGTAGTATTCACAGTGTCAGTGACAATAGTAATATTATTATAAAATGAATATAGATAGATTAATTTCAATCTGATTTATGTTATACCCCTAAATTAATAAGACGAGCCGTGAAAACTAGGGAGTAGTAGGTTGCTATTTCGTCCCAGTTGTCGACTTTTCAGCAGTCCCTGATCAGAACTCTACAAACAGTATGAAAACGAATGCATACCGATAGAATGTGTTGAATTCATCTAGAATTGATGCTTCACTGAATTTTGACCGACTCGTAGTCTCAAATTTCTTAGGTTAGATCCACAGTGACTACTGAAGAGTTTCAAAGTGGAAGTAGTGTTTCTCTTCAACTGATGTTGGTTTGTGAAATCACTCAAAAAATATCTACCATTGAACACTTGAATATCAATTACTTAATGAACTGTTTAAACGTATAATTTATTGGTTTAGAGCACAACACACCTAAATTCTACTGTGTCTGTTTTAGTTGATGACCATTGAACCTGATTGGTTGATTGTAAAGATTTTCTTACACTCGGGGATTTATAATGGTTGACTCGCGTAAAATGAAAACTCGCGTCACACCAGGATGCATACCAGCAACCTGGTCCACAGTTGATAACCAGGTTTTCATTTCACTGAAGTCATTAGTGGTAGTGTCTAACTGTCATGTTGCGTAACAGCCTGTTTCTAATGCATCAAACTACTGCTGACTTTTTAGCTAGATCTCCTACGTCAATCTAGAGTGATAGATAAAGAAACTACTTGAGATAATCTCCTACAGATCAGTTTGATGGGTGATAGTTTAAAGATATATCTCTTTTTAAATATAAATTTTTTAGTTAACTCCATGATTACCGCCTAAGATTCCATCTCCTTCTTCGCCTCAAGCGATCTCCTCCGTTATGTCACCCTCATATCCACGTCCAACTTGTCTTTTTCTACCACGGCGCTTGGCATGCAATGTTACCCAATGGTATTCTCAGTGTCCGCGTAAACTATCTCTATTCCCCTGTGTATATATGTTGACTAATGGGTTCTTGATAGAGTTCCTTGTTGCCTACTCTTTTTTCTTTCCAGTTGGCTAGAGCCATCTGATCTTCAGTATGGAGTGAAGGTGACATCTGTTTTGACAAAAGTCTGTTGTTTGATATACCAACTGACTTGATATTAGCGCTGAAGACGTGTGAATCCCCTGCCGTATTCTAAGTGTGTAACCGATGCCGCCTATAGATATGTCAATGAGGTGACTTTCCTGAGATATTTTTTTAAAATGTGGTTTTAATTTTCTTTTCAAATTTTAGAATGATTCTGATCTAATGTCAAGTCCAATGAATCCAAATACTGGTGGTATGAATACCAGTCATAATAATATCAGCAATAACAGCAATAACAATAATAATAATCGTAAAGAAGATCGTGTCAAGCGTCCAATGAATGCATTTATGGTATGGTCACGTGGACAACGTCGTCGTATGGCACAAGAAAATCCTAAAATGCATAATTCTGAAATCAGCAAACGTCTTGGTACAATGTGGAAAAATTTATGTGAACTAGATAAGAAACCATTTATTGATGAAGCGAAACGTTTAAGAGCAAATCATATGACACAATATCCTGATTATAAATATCGTCCAAGACGTAAGCACAAACCATTAGATAAGCAAAAAAAGAATTCAACCAATCTACCGTCATCAATGATAAGTGGATATTTAGGGAATAATACAATGCCTCCTGGATCACGTGGACTGCCTACTGGCAATACGGTTGGTGGTGGGACCGGCGGCGGCGTTGGCGGTGGTGGTGGGGGAGGACCTATGACGCATACAAATCGACCGGTTCCAGATTTATTCGATCCACTCAACTCTCCGTCGTCTCAATCGCATCATCATCATTTTAGTCAGCATATACATAAACATGAACATCACCATCATTTACACGGGTTATTCAATCCAACGGGGAATAATCCACGTCTTCCGGCAAATCCTTCATATATGCCTAATCAACCTACAGGGTATTTACCACATCCTATTACTGGACTAATGAATACTGAGAATCAATCTATGCCAGGATTGCCAGGATTAACTCAGATAATACCACAACCTGGATCAGCTGCACCCCAACCACCTGAACATCATCAACCAATTGACTTTCATTCATCGCATCGTTTACAAGATTATTTAAATTCAAATATGATGCCATATTACAGTTATCCGGGGAGTGAATTTGATAGAGATGCGAATTTAAAGCATTCACTGTTTAGTATTGATCCAATGGTTACTAGAACAACAACTCCAACGCAAACGCCAACGTTGAGAACAACAGCAACAACAACAAGTCCACCTCGAGCGGCGCTACAACAACAACAACAACAGCAAACACTACCACACCGACAACAACATCCTCTCAATATGAAGAGTATACGACAGCATTTCATGCGAATCGACAACTCTCTGGAAGTTATCGAGATAATACTACTACTGCTACTGCGAATATGATGAATCATATAAGTAGTAATTACAGCCGATCACTATCAGTACAGGATAGCGGCGGTAGACGTATTTACGCATCAGAGCAAAATTTAACTAATCATCATCATCATCAATTTAATCCGAATTTCTTTTTGAAAAGAAATGAAGAATCGATTAGAAGTCCTATTGGTTCTACGACTAGTACGACTATTGTGAACACTCCTAATAGTACTAGTACTGTTAACAATAGTACTGGCGGTAGCCATCGTTCTCTCCTCCCACCACCCTTCCCTCCTTCACATCCTCATTCTCATCAACACCCACACCACCACCACCACCACCATCAACCAGCACAACTGATGAATCCTCATAACAACAACAACAGCGGTAACGAGAATAATGAGAATACTAATGCTCAGTTAGTTCCAACGGATATGTCAAATCAATTCTCTGCAGTGGCGGCAGCTGCATTAGCTGTTGCCGCAGTGAATGATACAAATTTTGAGAGTAAAAATCATAAAAATTCAATCAAGTTTATACAGCAATTGAATAATTCACCATGGTCAATGTTACGTAATGATAATCATAATAAATCGATAACCAATCAATCAGGATTAAAGACAAATCAATTTGCTGAGTCGGATTCAATGCCGATGAGACAGAATGATAACAATAATAATAATAATTTTAGCTACACAGGATCTATGGCATCATCGTCACCACCACTCCCAGCATCGTCGATGGTATCTCCACCGCCGACAACGTCGAATAATAATAATAATAATTCACATAGTGCGGCAGCTGCTATGATGGCAGCTGTCGCAGCGGCTAATTATGCAGCATCTCAGCTGGCTTACTATGGAGCTAATACCCAGTCGAACAACAACACCAACAACAACACATTGATAACAATAACGAGAGTTTATACTCACGTCAACCAAGCATACCGGGGGGAGGACGTAGTACTATGGAGTCATTGTCATCAAACTGGATGAATAACAGTAGCAATACTAATTCACAGAATGCATCATTTCGACCAATTTCCTCTGGATGGTCAACAATTTATAATCGAAGTGATTTAGAGCCATTAGATGTATCAAGAAATGATGTAAATCTCTCGTCGATAACCGCATCATCATCATCTTCTTCTTTCCGTATCCACCATCGTGTCCACAGTTGGATCCATATAGTCGAAATAATTTATCCTCACAATTTCAGATAAATCGTAATCCTGCATGGTTAGAACGTCTTGATACCCATCAGCTGCAGCTGCAGCAGCAACAACAACAGCAACTACATCATCAGCAATCAATACACTTCCAAGGTCATAGAATGTTACCTAATATGACAGATTTAGGCGTTAACTCGAATGGTTCTCCTTCCAATGTACAAAAAAGTTAAACATATATACATATATATATATCGTATACGTATAAACAGTATTACTGTATTTGTTCTCGTTTCAAACGGATATATATATATATTATTTCCATCCTTACCATGTTTATTTATTATTCTATATGAAGAATTTGTTTAAGTTAATGAATTTAACAATCCTTCAACATTGAACATAGTAATTTGAGCGGGCGCGCGCGATTTCATTTTTTGTTTAAACAAACAAACCAAGGAAAAATGAATGTGAAAATCTTATCTAATCAAGATATATACACATATATATACATCATTTTCAAGAATTTAATGAATATTTCATTTGAAAAAGATTCAAGTTGACAAAAGAATGGAGACATTTTTTCTTTCAAATTTCATTATATCACATATACACATACATACAAATGAGGCATTTCCCTTCAACAATCTGATGTACAAATTTTTCAAAGTGAACAAACTGTAATACCAATAAATAAATAAATAAACAAATATTTATATTTATTCAATTATTTTGTAATTTATTATTATTGTTATTATTTTTCTCTCTTCTTCTGTGTGTAGTGTCAAGTTCAACACTGGCATACAATCACTTCCATCCTCTCTCGCTTCCTCAATAACTCACTCACCCACTCACTCACTAACTCATTGACTCATTCACCAGACCTTCATCAGTGTATCACTACTGATAATGCCAACATCTTTAAGCTGTCTTCAAAATTTATCTAAAATTTTCGATTCTGTCAGTTCTCAAATCATAATATGTAATATGTAATCGAATTGATATGATGTAATGCAGTGTAATGTAATGTAATATATATAACTGATTGACAAAAAAGTGGAGCAAGAAAGCCTTTCTTTAAGGGGCTTCATTGTCCCTCTATCTTCGCCTCTCTGTCCTTCTTTCTCTCCCTACCTCCTCTGTTTTCATTAGCCTAATGTGGAGGATTCTTTACTGCAAAACCGATTATCTCCAAGTTCAATTATATCTATCTATCTATCTATAATTCACCAAAATGTATAAATATTAATGCGTAAATATATTAAATTATCCTAATAAAAATAATAATAATAATGATAATAATAAAACAAATTAAATGGGTTAGTATTCTTTACAAGATTTCGGGTGTTTTTTAAAAAAAAGGGATTCCGATATTAACAGGGATTCATGATGAAATCCTGAATTAAAGAATTTTGATGAAAGTGGTCTTCACTGGACACGATTACCTCCTCAATCACTAGAAGGAATGACAGAGGTTATTTGTGTTTGTATTTATCTCCAGAGATGTTTAAGGATGGTGGAGACAGCTAACTGTCTGCGTTAACTAAGTTACTAGGCAGCATCTGGGAATCAGAGGACCATCGGGTTGGTGTAAGTCACTGATTATCCCGATATATACGAGAAGGGAGACAAGTCTTCTTGTGGTAATCACAGGAGGATTGGCTTGACTAATATGGTATGTAAAGTTCTAGGCTCAATAATAATGCGTAGACTAAGCGGTGCTCGGGAGGGAAAAACACGAGAGAGCCAGGTAGGCTTTAGATCAGGAAGAGGGTGTATTGATAGTATCTTCACCCTTCAACAAATTCTGGAACATAGGCATACACACCATTGCAGTCCAACAATTGTTATACTTCTTGACCTAAAGGCGGAATTCGATTCTGTCGACCGAGAGGTTCTCTGGCGATGCTTGGCTGTAAAGGGAATGCCGAGAAAATACATTGCACTGATCAGGGCACTCACTCTACTTGAACTCATGCAGCCAGGTGAGAGCTTACGGCGAGTTGTCATCTCAAGTGGTGACAACTATTGATGTCCGACAGGGATACCCACCAATGTCCCCATTTCTGTTTAATTTCATCATAGATGTACTAATGGGATTAACCCTAACTGAATGTGGAGACTCAGGGATTGACTTGCTACCACTAGGGAATAACCTCGTTGACTTAGAATATGCAGGTGATATAGTCCTGACTACTAGGTGAAGACGCTGACAAAACAGAGCAGAGTCTTCTGAACACCTTGAGGGGCAGAAATCTTCGAGTGTTTGGCATTCGATTCACTCCCGTAAAATGTAAGATGATGCTACAGGACTGGACTACAATGACTCCTAGCTCAAAGATCGGCAGGAGTGAAGTGGTAGAGCACGTTGACCACTTCACTTATTTGGGAAGTTGCATCAGCCAACACCAACAGGTTGATTGCTGACGAAATCTTAGCACGGATACAGAGGGCTCGTTTCGCATATGCCAGTTTAAGTCGTCTCTGGCGTAGACGTGATATCCGGTTGGCTGTCGATCAAAGGGCAGGTGTACTGCTCAGCAGTCAGCTCACTCCATCCTCCTTTATGGCTGTGAGACCTGGCCACTTAGAGTGGAGGACACGAAAAGGCTAGCTGATTTTGATCATAGATGCCTGCGTTATATCTCCCATGTAAAGTGGTATAATAAGGTAACTAATATTGAGGTTAGGCATCAGTCGACTGCTAGGTAAAGAGGAGGGGAAATCAATCGACGGGTTGACTGTGAAGTTACGTCCCAGTCATCGCCTTCCTCGACTGACGGGCAATGCTACCTGTTATAGGGTCAGGTTGGAAAAGGGCCAGTGGTGGTCAAACTACAACATGTTTTCATCAGTCAGTGGAATCCACAACAGTTAGTTTAAGCCAGCCATGTGAGGAGGTGTAGACTGTCTAACTGCTTAGATTCCTCGGGTTGGTAAAGACCAATGACGGCTGGAAACAATTAGTGATATGGCTCAAAATCGTTCTCAATGCCTGGTGCAGATGCATCCACTCCATGTGACTTATAATTTCCAGTGAAACTCTGTTGTTCCTCGTTGTTACTAATCTTTTTGCCTCATATCTCTGTTTACTGTTTCTGTTTTGCATTTCTTTTAACTTTCTTCCCTTGCTTTGTGTGCTGAGTCAAGAGTGGCGACTCGAACTGCTGCACATCGGTGCAAAGTTTATGGTCAGTCAGTATACAGAATAATAATTACTTTCACTCCATCAGTGCTTCAGGCCTTGAGCGATAAAAGTTCAACAGTGGTGATTTTGTTTATTCTGAATAGGGTAGTTAGCTTCACTTCCGAACTTCCTTCTTTATCGGTTTATGTTTTTACTGTCAGCTAAGCGAGGTTTAAAAGTGCACAGACTTGGAATTGCATTCTAGATCGCATAGGTGGTTGACAAGCATTGATCCATCAACGCATACGACAATGAGCATAATAACTACCAATTGTCATCGGTGTTACCATTGATATATCTGGTTTGAACTGATCAGCCTCATTTTCGTTTATGGGTTGACTGGGGGGAATACGGTTACTCAATCACATCCACCCACTCACTTATTAGGTTTACTTTTATTACTATTATCAGCACTCAGCATCAAAAATAAGATCAGGATTTTCAACTCCAATGTGAAGTCAGTCAGTGCTACTCACTATACGGATCAGAGACTTGCACTGCGCGTCATAAAGAGCATCTCAAACAAACTACAGACCTTCATTAACAGTTGTCTTCGCTCAATACTTCGCTCAAGATCAGATGGCCGGCCAGAAATGATCAGCAACAGAGACCTCTGACCATGAGCGAACCAACTCAGCAGGAACCGATTGTGAAACAAATAGGCAGGAAGAAATGGAGATAGGTGGATTGGCTGGCCATACTCTGAGGAAACCATCAAGTGACATTACTAGACAAGCCATTGCTCGAGTGGAACTCGAAAGGGAAGCAGCGAGTTGGTCGTCAGTGTAAGGGTGACTTGGAGGAGGTCATGTGAAGAGGAGATGAAAGCGTGTGGGCAGACTTGGAGCCAGGTGAAGACTGTAGCAGAGAACCGAACGCAATGGAGACGTGCGTGGCTGAGGCCCTATGTTCCTCTAGGAATTAAAGGAAGCAATAATGATAATAATACTATTATCAGTATAGTTAATAAGCATCGATACATACAATAGAGAATAGGCTTAATGTCACTCCATAATCAAATGTAGTTTGTGCGTCGGTGGCACAGTGGTTAGGACTCTCGCCGACCATGCACATGGTCCGGGGTTCGATCCCCTGCCGGCGCACACCCGATATCTATGGTTAGCCTGAATTTGGGCTACCGATATCCATGCTGAAAATTCCACACTTGTACTGAAAATACGGTGTGGAATCAAGCTGTAAATCAAAATAAATCAAAATAAATAAATAAATTTTGTGGGCGATGACAAGCAAGAAAAGCAGTATTCAATATTGAAAATCAATGATATCGCGAAATTTTCAGGTTTTTAGTTCGTAAGGATTTGACAGACTTAAAGCATGGTCACAAAGTGAACTCAGATAAAGAATCTCTGAAAACTAAAAAGTACTGAACAGTTGTTTCGTCCTAGTTTGAGACTCTTTGTCAGTAAGCACCACAACTTTCAGACTATTAGGCGAGATTGTTGACCACTCAACCATTTGGAAGGAAACCAATCACCAGCCTATGAATTCCAACTTCTGTCAATAGCCTTAACTATTGCCAGCCACTGTCATCGGCGAGTATATGTCCTCAAATCCGACTTATTGTAACACTGGTTACGAAATCTCCATAGAACTTCAGACGCCTTCACCAGTTAACGCCTGTAATCAGTTAATAGTGAGCGCTAGATTAATTTTTCTGTTGCTTTGCATGGATTTCATTGATTTCAAGATCGACTAAGATTTCAGTAAATGAAATGTCCCCATATTGAAATCTAAACAAGATTTTGAGCGAACAATTGTTTTCGATAACTTCTTCTTCAGGCACTACAGTTATAAATCCATGAATAATATAGTACATATAGCCAATAAAGGCAAATGAAAATAATAT